TTGGGAGATGTGTTTTTGAATATATAGATATCCATATATATATATATATATATATATATATATATATATATATATATATATATATATATATATATATATATATATGTATGTATTGTGTGTATGTATGTATGTTGGGTTGATTGGCAGATTCAGTAATTTTCCGCATTTTCCCTAAATTTTGTTTATTTTAAATTGGAATATTTTCTTAAAATTAGTTTATTATTATTATAAAAATTCAGGAGAGTTTTTCTGTTTGATTTTTTCGAAAGTATTAATTGTTATAAGAAATTTTGAATTTATGTAATTTTACGTTTCTAAATTTACGTTGTACAAACTCATACATTTAATTTTTCATATATAAGATAGTATACGAAATAGTTGTTAATTTTTGTTTAAACCAACTTTCAAACTTTTGTCAATCAGTGATACTACATGCATGCTTTATGCATGCATGTAAGGTATAGTTTATAAACAAAATGGCATTAAATACATTAGTTAATTCTGTTGATAGAAATATTGTCTTTAATGATTTGTTATTTTATATAATCAACAAAATTGATATTTTCGATAATAGTTTGTATGAAAAATGTTCTGAGTTTTACGCAACAGCTTTTATTTCTGAATCCAGAGAACTTATTGCAACGGAATTGGGAAAGCATGTTGAAATTAAAGAAAAGAAAGCTTCAAGGTTCCAAAGCTAGCCCAAAAGCTGAGGTCGAAGATATTGTTAACTTATTGAAATTAGCAAAAGAAAAAGGGGTTTTTGATAAATTGCATTTGTACTCGGCCGGGAGCCTGAATTTTCCAGATTTTTCTGGTAAAGAAACTATCGATGGTCAAAGTGACATGAAAAAAATAGTGAAATTGAAAATAAACTAATGAACATTGAAGAAAAAATCATTCGACTAACAGATTTGTTTGAAAAGTTCATGGTTGCCGTTAAACCAAACGACCAGATTATGCACAATGATAAAAATTCAACAAGTACAAAAATTGATTCACTAGCAAATTCCATAGAAAATCTTTCCGCTAAATTTGAAAATATTAAAATTCCTATGGCGTCGCATGATACTTCCCATGTTGCTCAGCACCAAATGTCGTCACTACATCAACGTCAGTTTCAACAACAGCCACAGGTAACCTTTTGAACCAAATCCGAAATATTCAACAACAGGTACACCCTCCACCTTTGGATCAATCTTATTCCGATGTTCTTAAAGATGATGGTTTTTCAATCGTCCAGCACAAAAAAAGTAACAATTTTACTTTGAAAAAAAATGACGTTGACTTGAATAATTTCCATAAACCAATAAAAGGAAAATGTACAATAGAGAATGGTATAATTATGGGTAACAAAAAAATAGAAAAAAAATCTGTTTTTCACGTTGGTAATGTTAAAAGGTGTATTAAACAAAAAATAATTGACCATTTGTCATCATTTAATATTAAAGTTGTCAACTGCTATCCGTTATTTATTAAGTCGAACGCAGACTAATCGTCCCAAAACGACTGATGAGTCTGGATCAACTTTGTTTAAAATTATAATAAATGCTGTGGATGAAGATAGCTTTTGCAATCCAGATATTTGGCCAGAAAATACTCTGGTGTCTAGATGGATATTTGAAAATCAAAATATTCCTTAATATGGATGAACCATATGAGATTTCGGACATATCACTTGGTAATGATCTTGATGATGATGATGTTGATTTTGTTGATAACAATATTACTTTTAATGTTAACTTACAACAATTTCATAATAATAAGGATAATAATGTAACTTTATTTGATCACAATTTTGATCCTGATATGAATTTTTTTCATAATTTATCTTACAATTCAAATTATTACACGCCATTAGAGTTTAAGTTCAAAAAGCTAAGCCATAACCACAAATTTAAATTAATGCATGTTAATTCAAGAAGTCTGTTACATAAAGTTAATGATTTGAATAATCTTTAGCATGAATCAGAATTTAATGCTGATGTTATTGCTATCACAGAAACATGGCTTAATGATTCATCCGCACATTCAGAGCAGATTAAAAATTACAATTTTTTATTTAAAAATCGCCTAGCCAGACAAGGAGGTGGTGTTGGATTTTTTGTCCGTGATGATCTTATCTATATAACTAGAGATGACCTAACTTTGATAATGGATGATATTGAAATAATGGCCATTGAAATTATCCGTAAATCTAAAAACATTATAGTGTTTGTGATGTACAGGCCACCTAATATGGATGCTTCAAATTCTATTGAACTCATTCATGATTTCATAAATAAAACTAAACGAACAAATAGAAAAATTACCTATATCACAGGCGACTTTAACATAGATTTGTTAAAAAATGATTGTCGCAATATTCAATTAGATTTTTCAAATATGTTGTCATATAACAATCTTGTACCATTGGTCACAAATCCTACGAGAATAACTGATCATTCGGCCACCCTATTAGACAATATATTTACAAACGATTTTAATTCGCATTTTTCTGGAATTTTTGTATCTGATATATCGGATCACTTGCCGATATTTTCATTTTCTAATTTTGAGAATGAAGTTGATAATGTTGGTGGGTTTGACTAATCCTTGTAATTTTCAAATCACATTAGATGGTATGATTATTTCAAGGACATTTTCAACTAAGTTCCTTGGTGTTTTTATCACAAGCAACGTAAATTGGAAGGAACATATCATGTCAATTTCCAAAAAAATAAGTAAAAACCTTGGAATAATTAATAAACTAAAATTCACATTTCCCAAATATATATTGTTAAATTTATATTACACACTTATATATCCATACTTGAATTATTGTATAATAATATGGGGCAGAAACATTAAATCGCATTTGAATATTTTAATAAAACTACAGAACTATTTCATTAGAATAGTTTTTGGTTTACGGAGATATGATCACGTAACTTCTTTTAGAGTAAATCTTAACATCTTAACTCCCACACAAATTTACATACTTAAAATTTTAATATTTTTTTTTCAAATCATAAATTTAAACAAATGTCCACATTTTATTGTAAATTACATGATGCATAATTTAAATGATAAACAAACAAGGCATACCCATGAGTTTCGGATACCGCAACATAGAACAGAATTATATAATCAGTCGATATTCATTTATGGATTGAAATTGTGGAACAATTTAAACGTTGAGATATGGCAAGTGGATAATATATCTAAATTTAAAAAAATTATATTGAACCTTTTAAAAAACAATCATTTTGTCAATTATTATTAAATATTTTCATTTCTTAATGGTTTATAACAAATTTATGAGATTAACATTTTTATTTGTTTACACTGATGTAAAAGGTTTCTTTTATATCCGTGTTTGTTTAGGCGAAAGCGTGTTATAATTATTATTTTTGGATTTCAATAATTTTTCATTTAACTTATAATTTTGTGAGTTATTTTTCCTGGAATGAACATTAATTTTAATTTTCTTTGGTTCATGTTAATTTTTGATTTCGTTTTATTGCTTGATTTGATGTCGTTTTTTCTTGGTGGCCATATAAGCCTTTGCGCTTCTGGTCTCCGTAATAAATAAATAAATAAATAAATATATATATATATATATATATGTGTGTGTGTGTGTGTGTGTGTGTTTGTGTGTGTGTGTGTACAGTGTGGTGCGCGCGCGTGTGTATGTTTATGTGTATGTATGTGTATATGTGTGCGTGCTTATCTTCAAAGCAAACCGTGATATATGCTGAAGAGTGTGTGGTATAGTGTGTGCGTGTCAGGGTTAGTGAAAGTAATGTTGGCGTGTTTTTAATGGAAATTTTGAAAATAAATGTAGTGAATAAAGTAAAATAACGTGGAAGAATTTTTCTTCTATATTTGTACGTTGGGGTTGGTGAAAAGACATCACTTGCTAAGAAGGGATCATGGATTCATCCGGAGATGCCGTGAGTTGAGTCAACATATACATACATACAAACAATCAGATAGACAAACATCCTTTGAACGCACACATGCATATTCACATTGCACTGCACAAGTGCTCTTAAAAATGTCAGTTACGAAATCCTTCATGTTCACACTGATTGCAAGCACAAACTTATATCAAACAAGTATATAGAGTGTAGAGGTTATATGTGGTTTTTACAAAACGCAATGAAATATAATGAAATGTTTTGATCACATTAATATTAGTTTATGTATCTCCGCATGGTTCTCAAACTTCTGGTGTGTGTGAATGAAAGCTTATTATTCTTGTATGTACAAAATAATCATTAGTGCTTTGGATGCGCTCATAATTTTCAATTTTCAGAAGAGCTCTAAAGTGAAGCATGTTTAACACTGTTACCTGAGTCTTAGTTCATTGAACGTGAAGCTGTATTTTATAACCCAGTTTCTGAATGGTGTGGCACTTTTTTGATGTAGGACGTTTTTAAATTTTAAACGTCAATTGAAAATATCAGCTCATTTTATATTCTAACTAATTAACTAAAATTCTATATTATGTATATAGTCACATTTTATATCAATAATAAAGTCATTAATAAGGTCACATTTTATGAAATCACACTTCATACAAAAATTTGAAATGCTAAGGCAATAATCATCCTGGTGGGTTAGTTTGGGTTAATTTTTGGAACAGTTTTTTGGTGGTCGGATAAAAAACATGTACCATTATTTATTAAACTTCGTCGTTTATTCATTCATTAGTCCATTCATCACTACGCTCGTTCGTTCTCTTATTCATTCCATTCGTTCGTTCATTCTTTTATTCATTCGTTTATTGGTTCATTCATTCATTCGATATTCGAGCACATGTATGACTTAGAGAGGCGGATGTATGGACTTTGACAGTGGAGAAAGGAATGTAGAGCGCATGTAAATACATAGCGTCTACTTATGTCCTCGGGAAAGTTACATTACTGCCTACACACACAGCCATACATCACGAATATCGGTCCACATCGGTTCATCCAGGCGAATGTTACAAGCACACGTTACGAATGTGTCGCCATCATGTGTGTGTGTTTGTGTGTGTGTTTGTGTGTGTGTGTGTGTGTACTTCCATGTAACTTTACAGCTGCTGCTGCTGCTGCACCTGCTTACCTCTCTCCAACATTCCATCTAATTGCCGAGTATTTCTTGAAAGTTTCCAAAAACTTAACCATACAAATTTTGCAGCTGACAACAAACAGCAAAATTGAAATATTTAAATTGTATTTTAGATAATAAATTCAGTATATATTTATAAAATAAGTGTATAGGTTCATGATTTTGAAATTAGGATGGCATATTACATACAGCGGGCTTTTCGTGTTTGTTGTTTGTCTACATATCATGAAGTTCACTTTCAGCTTTGTAACAATCAACTCCCTGTTTATCACTAATTCATCCTAGAAATCCTTCGATATTTTGATATTTAAAGTAAAGCAATACAATATATATTCAACATAAATTCTTAAATAAAAGAATCGCAACAAAAATTAGAGTGAAAATTAAAAAAAAATTAATCAGCGTAAAATAAAGAAAAAGTACTACGAAAAAAGTGGAACCAATAAAACATGCAGGCTGGTTGGTATTGAACATTAGATTTAGCAATAACAATTAGTGGATGGCATCTGGTGAATATTTAACGAGTTCCACATATAAATTTTTTCTGGCAAGCGGGTGCGTGATTGGTGTTCTTGGGTTGTGGTGGGGTGGTGAGATTGTGGGGTGGGTGTCAACGGTATAGTGCAATGCGGTATGGTGTGGCGTAGTTTTGGCGTGCTGTTTGTGTTGTGATGAAAAATTGTTTTGAATTAATGAATTGTATGAAGAGTGTGAATTAACTGAATGCATGGTGTGAATGCATGGTGTGAATGTATGGTGTGAATATATGGTGGTCTGGAAGCGCATGGCATGTGCACGTGACTGAATTGAACAACATTTCCACGCTGAACGTCAAATGGTGAACGAACATGCATAGAAAACCCTCGGCCATAAATCTTTCAATATTGACGTGGCAGCATCAATAACTGCGTCATGTAGAAATATCAATGAACACATGTCCGTCATTGAATACATCGTTGCATGTATTGCACGGCAAACATCATCCATCCTATCATAAAAATATTAATACGAACATTTATATCACGGGACAAATATAATTGCCTAAAATTATCTCTTTAGAAATATTTTTCCTCATGTTATTCTTAAAAAGTTGAATCGAAATATAGAATAAGGCTTTACACTAGTGATTATTTTTATATTTAACGAAATGCATCTATAAGGCTATTTGAGATTGTTCAACAATTTTGGCGGAACAACTGCAAATAAGAAATTTTAACGTGAGTGGAAAATTTGTGTGAGCAGATCATTGTACAAATAAATAAATCATTAAATCATGCATTGATGACGTCGTCCTTGCCATTGGGGCTATCGGAAGTTCAGTTGGACCTAAGTTATTGCTACATTCTTTGTTTATTTGTTCTTTAGTTCCGAAGGCAATTATTTTGTTCTATTGCTTCACATGCGGGTAACTTTATAATGAGGTCAAGTATTTATGTCTTCCAGTGAACAGCAACTTTTTTTCAATTTGAAATCTGTATTTAAAAATTTTTCAATTAATTCAGTCAAACAATAATGATACAAATATTTGTAAATGTGTGAGTGTTTGCATGCGTGCGTGTGTGTGTGTGCGCATATATAATGAAGTAACAAAATGTTGCAACAATGCATTTAAAATAACAGGTTTAAGTTTCTTATTGTTTTTTGTTTACTTTCATCATATAGGTTAAATAATAATACTAATATAATAATTATAATTATTATTCGATATTTATGTCAACACAATTTTCATACGAAGCAATCCACAGCCAACATTGTCTGTATCAAATTTTAAGTGTCCTGTCTAGGTCTCCAAGCCTGTCTCTCCATGCCCTATTGCGCGTATTTCTATTCACCAGCCTTAGGAAAACATACATGCTACGCATCATACATAAATTATATGCGATATATATATATATATATATATATATATATATATATATATGTATATAGCGCATGGTCACCGAAAATTCCTTCTAATCATCATCTTTATAAAAAAAAGTGACCAGTGAATAGCCACCATTTTAATCGGTAAGTTCTTTCATGGACGTTTACGTTTCGTAAGTTATATTCAATACTGTAACATCAACTAGTTATTAAATTTCAAACCAGGCTAATATATAGTGTTAATAATTTTTAATTTATTTTTATGAAAACATTTAATATTCATATAAAGTTTTTTTTTTATTTCAAAACAGACTATAAATAAAGGTTGTATTTTAATTTTAACAAGAAAGTAATAAATATTATATAGAGTGACTTAATCACTTCAACAGTTGTAATGATGTCTAACAATAAATAAATATTGTATGTTTATTATTATTATATTATATTAAACAAATAGAAAAATTATTTACCGAAAACTTCATTATGATACTTTGCAAATAATTTGTTAAATATCAGAACAACAAAATCAGTTGGCTAATCAGGATGATGTGCATGACTTGCAGACATTTCAACCACCTCGTCAATTTTCTTCTAACTGTCGCCGTCATTATGCTATTTGTGGAACTCATTTTGGCGGGCAAAACACGCCACTCCAAGATGGCCAATCGGGAGAGGTCTGTTGAAAACAACCAATTACCGACCGGTAATTCAGTGACGTCAGAGGCTTACTGTGATTTAGGTAAATTTCATGACAAGATTTTAAAAATTGGCAACCTATTCTGCAAATTTTAGATCCAAAATTGAAAATTACCTAAAAATAGTTTTATTTTCAAAATTATTTTGCTTAAACTTAAGTTTTAGGGCAACATTCTTAACACATATTTATTTGCATTTTAGAGTTAAATTGCAAGGGCGACATGCTGGAGATGCCGACTCCGATGAAGCTGCCGATACGAGGAGCCAGGGGCCCAGCAGGACACAAAGGAGAAAAGGGAGAAAAGGGCGAAGGTGGAGCACCCGGAATGGACGGAATGCCAGGTTAAAAAGAAAACACAAAAATATTATCAATGCATCTATTTATTTTCTCCGTAGTGCTTGGGTTCTGCCAACTGCTACATAAGAAAAATTATTTAAATTTCGTGTACGCTAACATGATGTTAATCGCGGTAACAAATAGTGTATACGTTGTGGTGTTGTTATTATATTTTTATTCCTTACAAAAATCAAACTCTGACAAAAAATAAATAATTAATATATAAAGGAAAAGTTATTATAGTTATAAATTAAATATAAAAAAAAAGTTTAAAAAATGAATGAAAAACATATTAACATTAGCAGAGATAAATAATAGCTCTATGCTCAACGTCAAATGCCATCTCGAAATTAGCTTCTAGAAATTTCCATAGGGATTGGAATATTTGGATATTAACAGCAGCAACAAATTCAACAGCAACACAAACAAATTAGCAACAACAAAAACACATCAATAACAACCTAAAACATTCAGTAAACACTAAGCCATGATTGAATAAACTCCCTCCACCAGGGATGTCACCACCGTCTCCATCAAAAGTTGCATTTTTTGTTGGTCTGCAGAAAGAAATTCAGTCAGTCACGAACCATACAACAGTCGTCTTTGATAAGATTCTCACTAACGTCGGCAACGGATACGACCAAAAGACTGGAAAGTTCAAGGCACCTGTTTCTGGGACCTACTTCTTCAATGTTGTTGTGTCCGCCAATACGAAAGATCGGGTTGGCATGTGCTGTGTGCTCCTGTCATTCTTATTTTCCATCTTGTGATTATTTTTGTTGTTGTTTTTATTGCTGTTTTTTATTGTTATTAATATTATTTTCGATTTCGTTTGGGTTGCCCGGCTGAAAGAGGAATAAGATGATGATGAATGAACAGGGTACACATTATGTTCTTTCTGTTATTTAAATTCATCATAATATTTTTTTTTATTTTTTCATAGGCAAAAATTACAACTCTAGAATAATATACTGCACTGTAGACTAAACCAAAATAAATTTGTAATCAATTAAATTGTGCCTCAAAACCTCAATGAATGAAATGAAAAATAATATCACATGCGTCGCTGTAATTGTCGCTGAATTTGTGTTTTGAAAAAAAAAGGTCTATGTCTATTGAACTCTTCCTAAGTTCAGAGAAATCAACAACACGCAAACAGCGTATATGGATACATGCTAAATGACACATCGCACACCAAGCATGTAATAGAGGGGAATCATTTTGTCGTATTCGAATCCGGTTACTGCACGCACTGCGAAAGAACAGCAGGCGACCTTAACCACTAGGCCACCACGTGTTGAAGTTGTCGCAAAATGTATCCGTTTAAAAAGTTAGCGAGTCAAGCAGCGGTGATCCTGGTGAAGAACGGAGGAATGATTGTGACTGTGTGGGCGGAGGCATTCCCGAACTGGGCAACATCATCGAATGTTGCTATCCTGAACCTCGTGAAAGATGATCAGGTGACGGTGATGATGGGGGGGGTGGTGGTGTTATAGGGCTATTTTATGAATCATAACATTATTTAGTTGTTTCAAGAATGATGACAATGATGGTGCTACGATATGGTTCACTCACATGATGTTTAATAAGGATGACACAAGATGATCTAATATGGATGTTTGACTAATGATTACAATGGTGATGATGCTGAAAGTGAAAACTTAAATATATTGAAATATTAAGGTGGTTTTTTTTATAATGATGATGAAATTGATAATGATAGTCATCATAGGATGATTAAGATGATGTTAGTGATAAAAGAAATAGATGATAATGAATAAATAAATTAAGAACTTAATTAATGACTTAATTAATGAACAAATAATTATTTCCAGGTGTGGTTGTTCCTGATAAACAGGGCACCGAACCTGTACGGAAACATGTACTCAAGCTTTTCTGGCTTCCTGCTTTTCGAAAATGCTGTTTAAATAGTTTCTAACATCCTGGTCTGGCATAATGACGTTCACATTATGATGAGAGATGAGAAACTTCTTTTTACATATAAAATATAACTGTATTTATTTAGTTTTATTTATATATAAATATTTTATTTATTTAAAAATTCGAAATTTTAGTTAGTTTGTACAGGTGCAAAGTATTCTATATACAAATTTATATATTTATTTGTTCATTCATTTACTATTTATTATTTGACGCTTATAAGTAATAATAATTTGATGATATTGTTTAATATTTGATTATTTTTATCCATTAGTTTATATATGATTTTTAAAAAAATCATATCACAGATTCGGTTAGCTCGGGCAGCACATATCTCCTCATTCATATCTCCTGCGCGTTCATCTAACTCCAACTGCCGCCTGTCTAAAATTCAAAAAGCATCACAATGTATGGTGCGTGCCTGCGTTTGCAAAAAAATAAAATTTTTCACTTGTAGAGCTACATGAAAATTGCAACTAAGCAAGTTGCTGAATCGTGAGCTGAGCATCCAAAAAAAACTTCCAAATAAAATATTCATATTTTAGTGCATGTTTGCAATTAATGCGAGTTCTGTAATGTATCGTCTGAAAATGCACTTGTTACAATCAAATTAATCATCTCTATCCCGAACCCAAAATTGATTCTGCTCATTCTTTTTAATTCATGTTGCAATTTGTTACAATCACGTTTCATTGTAATTAGCAGTAGCTCAGTTACTACTTAATCATTTAACCGATCGATCGACGGTCTATGGAAGGTCCATCAAACCGATTCGACGATTCGTTTTTTCTAGTCAAATATTCAATTAAAATTTATAACGCATTGTTATCTAATTATTATTATTATTATTAGCATCTAATTTTTCCCGCTATTTAAAAGATTCACAACCAAGGCCAAAGGCGCAAAGATAGTCTATCAGTGCTAAAACACCGTAAAACTGCAGAAGAAGAAGCAGTATTACCAATATTAGGTTTAAAAATCCCACAATGAGCATTTAAAAATGCGACCTTTAAAATTTAAGAGCAGGGGGAAAACCAGGACAGAAATTCATTCATTTTTGTTGATAAGATTGTTTCTATACTTACTATGATATTATTACTACTTGATTTTATTAATTAGTTAGTTCGCGTTGAAAACGTTTCTCACAATTTATTCAGCTTATCAGTACACACAACTCTTTTTACTGAATATAGTTAATCGTTCAACTTTAATAGTTAAACAACAGTAGGGTATAGGAAATTTTTCTATGAAAGTTTGTTTCTATTAAAAATCATCCATCATGCTCGCTTTATATTAAATCTTTTAAAATCATTCTTATATAATCATTTGAAATAATTGAAATTTAAATCATTTTATTTATTTTGGAATGATACTTTGTGAATACCTAATAGTTAGAGTTTTTAACTGCAATTTTACGATTTTATAATTTGAAACCACGCCAAACTCTCTGGCTTTTGTAACGAATTTAAAAAATAAATTAAAGACAGACAGAACGATAGGCTATGACAAATCAATCAGTCAACCAACCAACCATCAATGATTCTCTTTTTCTTATGAGTTCGAAAATCCTCTTTTAACTTTATCTAATTTTATCGAATTCAACGTTGCCGTCTAATGACATTCATTAATTTCATGGAAGGTCTTCCAATTGCTCTTCTTCATAACTTAACGAAACAAGACTCACAGAACAGACACAAACGTGCAAAGCAGGGAGGGCATATTACGCTTGAAAAGTATAATATGCTAAGCAAGCACCAAATCATGTCTATAATATTCATCTTTACATAAATTCATATATATATACATATATATAGATTTACATTTATATTAAAAATTTATATTCTACTCTAAGTATATGTATATGAGTGTGTGTGTATGTCTGTGTCTGTGTGTTGTGTGGTGTGTGCGTGTGTATTTGAGGTGTGTTTCTGACAACTTAGATTTCATTTTAAGCAGAGCCACCAGCAGCCAATGAGAGATTTAACACTCGCAGTCCGCCAATTTGAAAATGAAAACAAAGCACATGCATGCTATAGCAACTCTACTATAGGCATATATATTATATATATATATATATATATATATATATATATATATATATATATATATATATATATATGCTGCCTATGCCTAATTTTAACTTGTGCCTAATTAATTTGTTATGCCCTCTTTCGTTCGTCCGTTGGTTGTAATAAAGAGGCGATGTTAAATGGTCTGAAAGAAAGTGTTCTAAATAAAAGTTCTTCTAAGATTTGTTTGTTATTTGTCGCAACTGCAACACGCAACGCAAGGAAGAAAGTTTTCAAGAAGAATTGAATTATTTATTTATTTTATAACTTACAATTGATTATCATTATTGAATAGACATGTTGGAGACTAATAATGTTAGTGTTGTTAGTGGTGAATATGCTGCTGCTGGGTCTGCGAGGGATGTTAAAGTTAGAAATGAAAAGTCATCTGGACCGTTCGCCGCCACTCAAATGGTATTTCTTTTATTTTAATTTTTTTAAATGAAATAATAAGTTAATAATAGTTTATATTATACTAAAACTAAACTAAAGTAAATATTAAAATTGAACAAACAATAAATCACTTTCTCCAACTAAACTTAAGTTAATTAATTAAATTTTTTATTGTATTAGTAGTTGATATGATTTTATTAAAAAAAGGAAAAGTATTTAAATTTGTGAACTTTATTAATTAATAAATAATTTATATATTATATTCACATTTCACAAAATGAATAATGAAGAAATGTTGCCTTTTTTCTAAATTTATAATTATTAAATATTTTTTATGGACTGGGTTGTTTTGCATATGTTTTTTTTAATTAATTTAACTGAATAAATTTACTTTTCTAAACAAGTGGAACATGCTGTTGCGATCATTCAAAGATGGCATGCCGGTGGGCAGACACAGAAAAGGTTTCAAAAGCTACCAAAACTGCTTCATTGGGTCAGATGCTGTGTCCTGGATGCATGATAACATGCAAAATCTTCTGAAGACCGATGTCACTAGGTTTGCTGTGTTCCAATGTGCTTCTAATGTCTGGTCAAGAAAGTTGTTTAATTATCTTTTTATTTCATTTTTTATGTGCAAAAACTATGTATTGAATTGCTTCTATTAACATTTTAATTCAATCAAAATTTAAATATGGTTAGGTCTCAGGTAGTGACACTCCTGGAGAAATTTTACAAAGTTAAACTTTTTAGAGATGTGGATAAATCGAGTGAAGGTACTGAATTTTGTGAGGGAAGCAAACTTTACAGGTTTGTTTATTTGGTTGTTATTCAGTAAAAGTAAAATGAATGTATGTGTAATCAAGCTTAAGCTACTATAGTTGCACAATAAATGACAAAGTATTGTGAAATAAAACTTTTCCTTAAATATTTCGTTTATTTAGCAACCTTTAGTTAAAAGTTTTGGACACAGTATTCAAATTTTTCAATGAAATGAATTTCTAATGGAAATATTTTGAATGTTAAATTTGAAGGTTCAGTACTGAGGAGGAGGAGGAGGGAAGCGATGTGTTGGAACTGGCTGTCTTGCTGCAATCAACATCTGTCAACAAATCATCATCCAAACCTTCATCATCTTTGTCGTCGTCATCATCTTCCATGTCGCCAAACAGAATATTCAGAAGGTTCAATTTGAAGTCTGGCCACATGGATGTTAATGTTGGTTGTTTCTTTTAGTTATTGTATGTGTACTATATTTCTCATTTTTATTCGAAAAAAATTCAAAATTATTTTATTCAGCAGAGGCTGGGAGATGATGATGTTCTAAGTTGTTCTAAATTCTCATTTTGATTTTTAAAATCTAATTGCCTATATGAATGTCTTTGAATGAGCTATTTTATTTTCAATTCAACATTTCCATGCTGTTTTTTAATTTTAATATATTTAATGTTTTTTGATTTTTTTTAAAGAATCAAAATAACTTTGAAAATTAAATCATATTACTTCAGATACCAAGAAGTAATTTCAAGCCAAAAGTCACAAATTCCAACAAGATGAGACAGAAATTGAATGTTTCAGATGTTGTTGTCATGGTTAACAGCAACATCTTTAACAGCAGTAATGTTGTTAATGACAGTAGTGACACAACAAGAAACAACAACTTTTACAACAACAATAACATCAGCAACAATAACATCAGTAACAAAGTAAATAATAACAAAATTGGATTATCTAGAGGGAACACATTTAGTTTTTCATCAAAGATGGACCCCCAAACACCTCAAACATCACAAACACCTTACATTGCACTCTCAGAAACACAGGCAAGAAACTTTTCTCTAAAAAAATTTGTTACCAAAAAGACTGAAACTAAATTAAGTATGCATTCCAATTTGGAAATGAACAGAGAAACGAATGTTGAAAGTGATGATTTCATCCTTAGAAATCCTAATTTTAGGGATGAATCTGAAGTTATAAAAATGGAAGTTAAGTTGGCACCACTAGCTTTCAACATTGAAAATGGTTTCATTCTTGGGTTGGTCTTCCATCTTTTTTTATTTCCATCTCATTTTCTAATTTTTTCATAATTTTCTTATTAGATGAACAACTCCACAACCGTCACAAGTTTATTAAGTTATAATAAGAAATATTGTATGTATGTATGCATGTGTGTATGTTTGTATATATGTATGTTTGTATATATGTATGTTTGTATGCATGTATGTTTGTTTGTTTTTGCAGCTTATCAAGTTTGGTGGCTGATCCAAGCTTTCGCAATGCAGTTGGCAGCCTGGATGTGAACGTACAATACATCATACACAATGTCTCCATTGTTAACAAAAATGCCATGCCTACCAATATCGACAAGAAAAGTTTGTGACTTTATTCATAACAATGAAAGATTTGCTATAAATCATGTGTCATTGTTTGTTTTACTGATTGTGTGCCTGTATTGTGCTAGTATTTGTTTGTATATTCTCTACTCTACCCATTGTGCAATGTGTGTGTACAAGTTGATGTCATGCGATGTTGCGTATGTAAACACTAGAGACGCTTTGTAATGTCATGAAGTGTTTTTTGTGTATGTTATTTGTAGTAGCAAAGGTTTATATAATTCAGTGGCTTGGCGTTATGTTAAAGTAAGTTTATAAGAGTAAATCATTGTAATGGATTTTTCTGTAATTAGTTACAGTTTGATGTAATGAAGTATTTTAATGTGATGATGTCGTTTGAAATCAGATCAGTTGCCTCAGTGGCTGGTTTCTGCCTTGAAGTCCTTCACTCCAAAGGGTTGGATATTTTTGTTTTTGTTAAATTTAAAATTTCTGCATGTTTATATTGCGTTCTTCATCGCTTTGTCTTTTCAATCATTCAATCCTTTTTCGCTTCTTATTTCATTTTTATATCCTTAAAAATTTATTAGCTCTTTTTAATCTAAGATTACGTACACTTGTGACAGCAATTTCAAGCACTGTCTCATTCATAAATCACTGATTTCTTTAACACAGACCCAATGAATAACAATGAAAAACCAGATGTACATGTTGAAATGAAACGTGAGAACGTAGCTGGTAGCAACGTCAGCAACAATAACACTAACAATAACAATGGCTGCAACAGCAATGGTAACATGAATAACAACAACAACAACAACAACAAAGGAGATGACACAATGGATGATGATGTTCTTGATCTTGTATGTGAATACACAGCAGATGTGAATGATTCAGCACTCATCAGTCCACAAATTCTTCAGATCATCAAACTTGCCCATGGTCAGAAATCTCTTTGAGTTGCTGTTTTTTTTGTTTTCATCATTACTTAAGTTTTATTATCTTTCACTGTCTACTCTCTCACTTTTTCATCTCGATGTCTTTTCCATTTTTTTCCAATTATCAGAGAGCCAAAGAGTCCAAGCAGAAATATCACAAAAAATACAACAGAAAAGGATTCATAACCAGAGATTGAATAATAAGTTTGAAAATTTTCTACACAATCAATCGACACTCGAAACTTGCTTTGGCTTAGAAAATAAAACTCCAAAGACAACAGTGAAGATGTCCTCCAGGTTGAGCAGTTCCATGTATGCAAAGATTGGCGACGTCTCCAAGTTCATTGACGATGATGGCGAAGGAGTGGATGATGAGAACGCTGATGACCGAAAAATGACGTTTTATGATTTTTTAAATAGTTCACCCCCGCCAAAAATAATCCACAAAGGTTATCTATAAAAATTTCATAAACATATTCAGATTAATGTGCTTCCCTGAAATATTTTTAACTCGTTTGTCACTTCATTTAACCAGCTCTTTCATCATTTTACATTTTCTCGTCCATTAACTAATTCTAGGTTTTTTTCATTCTCAGTTTTTTTTCCTTCCTGCTAACAAGGTTCATTTTTCTGTTTTCAAACTCTTAGATGACGTACCATTAAAAAATGATATAAAGAATCCAGAAGCTTCATTTCGATCATCATCAACACCACCACTGAGATCATCATCAGTTCTTCCATCATCAATATCTCCGTCATCAGCACCACATGTCATCATTTCATCTCCCAACAAACCAACCACACTCTTCAAACTCAAGGTTAGCTGGTCGGTTGGTTGGTCAGTTGGTTGGTTGGTGTCGACCAGTTGGCTGGCTGGTCGGTCGGTTGGTTGGTCAGTTGGTTAGCATGCTGGTTGTATGAATGATTGGTAATCGGATGGAGGGTTGGATCGAGATAATTTTTTTAATATTCATTTTAAAGTGAATTTACGTGATTTTTAATGAAGATTTAAGATTGAATATTATTAATTTTTATGATGAATTCTTTTTTTTCTAGCAATGGAAAACAAAAAAACAAAGAAAAAAATCGATTACAAAGTCGGTGGACAACATAGCAAAGGGCGGCTGCAGCATCAGTAACCACAGCAACCACACAACCAACAACAACACAAAAAACGACAACAACCACGTAAACAACAGAAGTTCTCACCACTACCACAACCTCTACACCGAGGGAAAGGGGAAGCTCATCAGCATGTTTGGCAGCATCGGCAACATCTCCAATAAGAATTTGTACAACAATAGCAATAATACTAACAACAATTACAACAACAATGAAAATAACGCCAACGATCACAATAGTATGGGTGCTTATAATGTTAAGAATAGTAAGGAGAGGAAGGTTAAGGTCAACAAATCTCTTGTTGATGACGCTGATGAAATCATGAAGATGTTGATAGACAACCATGCATCCCTACAAAAACAACAGCAACAAACGAAAAGTGTTGCAAATGTTGAAACTACAGCCACTCAACTAAACAACAACAACATTTTGCAACATTCTTTTGAAACCCTCTCAAAATCATCTGCCAAAACACCACCTTACATACCTACAATGTGCAACGACGGCGTTAAAAAAATCAACCCGTCTGCTACCAATACCAACAATTTCAACAAAAATACCAGAATATTTACTGACAGTTACCATATCAACGTTGACAACACCAAACATGTAAATGTTGATAATAATGATTACTGCTATTTCCACCTCTCAAACATTGGTCACCAACATTTTAACAAAACCAGCACCAACGATACAAATTATAACAACATGAGTCTTAACAATGCTGCTAATTATAACAATGCTAATGAAATCAACAGAGACATTAATGTTGCTAACATTCCCAATAGCAACAACCTCATCAGTGCTGATTGCAACAATACTAACAAAATGAATAGTAACAAAGGTTAGTTGAGGCATTGCAAACAATTTATTTGAGTTTATTTATATTTAATAGGCTGATTACCTATTACTAACTCTATTCTATTTCAATTTTTAAAACCAGTCTCTTGAAATTAGTTTTAACACACGCATACACACACACATATATGCCCATGCAAGCATGCACACACACAGCACACATAGTCAGAAAACTCACAAACACATACTCATACAGGCACACATCTATACTCATACAAACATGTATACTCAATTACACATGTTCATACAAACAGACATACAAATGTTCATACACAATTTGGTTGCCTATTCATTCAGATGCCTTGATAGCAGTTATGCAGCATATGATGTTGGTGCTCCCTCCGGCCAACAGGAGGATGCTGATGATTCTCGTCAGGTTGCTCTCCAAAATTGTCTTCCCAAACAGCAGCAGCAGTGATGTAAATAGCAACAACAACATCAACAGCAGTGACATCAACAGCGATTTTTACAGCGCTTATGAAATATCAAGATTGGATGGCAAGCAAATTAAAGTAAGTTTTTTCTTCGTTATGCAGCTCTGCAGATGCGCAGATCAGTTGCAGATCAGTTCCTTAGTTGCCTTTAGTTCTTAGTTGTTTCAAACTAGTTATGGCGACGCTACCTTACCTACATACACATGCATGCATATGTATGTATATGTACCAAAATTGCAAACGGCACATCATACGGATGATTTGGAGTTTTGCATAGGTAGTTTTTAAATCATGTCAAAATCAAGTCGTGGCGTTCTAATTTTGAGCCAATTTATCTAATTTATTGCTAATTTATAGTTATTTTTCAATAATATTATTATTATAGAAGATAAAAACGTTTTATATTTAGTTATTGGATGCATTTGCTTCATTCATCCTCTCGAAAGATTCATCCATCTGTCAGTCATCCATGGAAATCCTCCTTTACATGATGAGATACTACAGCTCGATGTTCAAGGTTCCCCCATACATTCATGGGAATGTTAGTCACATGATTGGTAGATGGATGGATGGGTTGATAAATGGATTGGTTGATTGTTTAATGTGTAGATGGATGGATGGATGGTGGAATAATATTTGAGGGTTTAGTTTATCCATATATGTAGTGAAAATATTAATAAATACACCTATCCCCCGATTTACACGGTAGATACGTTCCTGAGGAAAACTTGAAAAATTAAAAATTTTCAAGTCAAACCCGTGTAAATCGAAAAGCTTGCAGAAAATGCATAATTTTGCTATTTAACAGTTGTGATTTTTTTTCAATATTTTTAGGTGTACACAGAAATAAAAATAAAATGCATTTATAAAATATGTAATATATTACGGAAACACTGTTTTTTTATTTAATTACAATACATTAAACAGAAGAACAAAAAATAAAACCAAAGGTGTTTTATTATCATTCATCACTGTCAGAAATTACTCTCATTCTTTTTTTCGGAATCGAAGGTTCGAATTCACTTTCATCACTCGAGGTTATTTGTGCCAATTCGATGTTTGAAGCAGAAATATTTACATTATGAGATGGTAATAAAATCAGTTATTAACAATTGCTTCGAATTTTTTGTAAGATCTTTGTAAACTTTTATATTGAGCCAAGCAGTGATTTAAGTCACGTTGGAATCCTAAAGCCCTTTCAACGTTTGTGTCATTTTGTATAAAATGATTGCCCAGCCTTCTTCCCAATGCAAGTCCTTCGCGGATGACTTTAGCAGTGAATGTTACTGGTACTAATTCCTCTTCATCAGATTTATAAAATTTAGAGACAGTACTTTCAGGCATTTTTTCCAGAACAACCCTGACTCATCAGCATTGAAAACCTGATCAGGGGTGTATGAATTGTCGTTAATAATTTCTGCAAAATTTGCTGGATATTCTTGGGCTGCATCTACGTTGCCAGAAGCCAGTTCACCTTTTAATTTTAAGCTGTGTGAAGAATGTCTTGTTTTAAATCTTTCAAACCAGCCATGACTTGCCAAAAAATTTGGCTTCTTTTCAGTTGAAGAAGAAGATGGTAATTGCTCTACAATTTTTTCTTAAATTCGTAATGCTTTGTTTGTTATTGCGTCCGTATCAATGGATACTCTTTTTTGTGTTTGATCTTCTATCCAAAGCATTAACGCTTTCTCCATTTTTTCCATTGCGATATTTCTGGTGTATGATGTTTTGCCCATGCTCGTGGTATTGCCTGCTGCAACACTCTTTCTAATTGTGTTTTCATTTGTCCTAATAGTTCTTATTGTAGCTTCGTTCATGCTATATGATTTTGCAACATCTACTTATCTCCCTTTCGTAAGCGATCCGAAATTTCGATTTTAGTTTGTAAAGAAATAGCCTTTCTTTTAACTTCTTTCCTCATTATAAGCCTATAATTTTTTAAATTTATGTTAATTTGGCTGTAATTAAAGTAAAATTCAGAGGGAAAAATGCGGGAAATTTTTGACAGAAAATTAAAAACTTATTTTTTACTAAATATTTATTTCTTTATTATATTATGAACAAACCTTTATCAAAGCGTAAGAGAATTCTACCTAATGTTTATTGGTTAACTAAAGAAAATCAACAAATTATATATTATAAGAATTGTTTTTTCCCCTCTAAATTTTACGGCTGTGATTAAAGCCGTTAATTTATAATAATTTAAATTTTGCACTCACTTGTAATTTACGAATATGGAAAATTAAATCATTCTGAAACTGTGAAACTTTCACTCAAATACAATTTTCCATAGATTAAACTTTAATTTTATGCGAAGAAATTCAGACACAGTGTGCGTGTGCAGCAAGTCAGAATATAAGCTCGGGATTCCCCGTGAGATGTGTGCACAGCGCGCGTCTTCAATCACAGTAGCATTTAATAGAGTGCAATAAAAACAAAAAAAAACTTATTTAGAAAACTGTGTAAAAGCGAAAACGTGTAAAACAAGTGCCGTGTAGATCGGGGGATAGGTGTGTATACTGTCGGTTGAGGATAAGTTGGATGTTTTATGGATAAATGCCTGGATAAATGTTCCGTTGTAAAAATGGTACACGTTTAATCGATTGATAATAATTTCACAAAAGTTTTGCTTGTGAAGACTTTGTGAAAATTTAAATAAAACCACATGTGAAGCACAATTACACACTTTTTACAGAGAAAAAAAATACACAATCGTTAACAAAAGTCAATTACTTTTTCTCGTGCAAGTATTTTACACAAATACACACACATTCTCGCAATTACACACTTCCACACCCACACACACACACACACACTTTCACACAAGAAATGAAATGATGAAACATGCAGGTGCATGCGTACAACAAGGAGAGGTCGAGATTGGAAGTGTTGCATGAGCAGAAGGAGAACGTGTCGTACAGACCAAACAGCTGGCAGACCAATCTCCACAACATGCACGTACAGAGGCCCTTGAAATCAATTCTTAAGAAAAATGTCCACGTTGTTAAGCCTGTCAGGTTCTGAGATTTATCTCATTGATATTTGTCCAGTTGATATTTATATTTTTCAAAATCTTCATGATATTGTTTAAAAATTTTATTGAATATTCCTGTATGAATTTTTGTTTGAACTGTGGATGGCGTATGAGAGTGACTTTATTTTGTTCCCTTTTTTACGTTTACATTCATTGAACGTTTTAAATTATTCTGTTCGTATCAATATTTTTCTATAACTGATCAGAAGGCTCCATGATTATATTTAATTGAACGGTAAGATGGCTATACTGCCTATTATATTTTATTTAGAATTGTGTTCATATATGACATGCTCTTCTATGAGTAGATTATTTTAATTTATTCATTCAACAAACATTCCTTAGTTTTTTTAACTTATATTTATTACAAGCCACAAATATCGTGAAAGTGAACACTTCTTACATTTCAATTTTTCACACAATAATTTTTTAATTGTTTATTAAATTTAATTGTATTTGTATCTATGTTAGTCCAGTGGTATCAACACGTAGCGCAATGACAATTTTTAGCCTTTCAAATCTTTCGACTTGTTGATATTCATTCATACCATCGCCCTGTAGCAAAGTTTTATAACATATCATATTGACCAGCAGTGGTTTAATTTTTTTTATTACATGAGCAGGTTTTAAAAAATTTTTTTCATAAACTTTTCATACCGTGATTTTACGCTATGTACCTATCTACGATAGATGATCAGAACATAGTGCACGCGCGCGCGTTAGGTGATTGCGTTTCTTTGCATGGCACCTATGTTTTGTACTCAAAATAGCCAGTGATTCCATGTATACGGACAATGTATTTTTATTCATATACATACGTGCTCGTAACTGGAATGAATTTCTGGTTGGGAGAAATTGTAATTGAATCTGTAATGTGTACAAGGCCTACATATTGAGATTATTATAAACCATACGGGTTACATAACAGTAGAGAATATTTTATTTTGAATGTGTACCACATCATATGGTGATAGTTGAGATATACAGGGACTATCCATGAAACAATTTATCTTAATATTACATTTCGTTGGCGTTATAAAGTTCATATTATATTATATATTTTTTGAGTTAACGTTTTCTGGTCTGTTTTTTTTCTTTGTTATTAATTATCTATTTATGCGATGTATAAGTGTGAAAATGTATAAATGTTTATAGCAACTTAATCCTATATGCGTTTGATGTGCGTGTGTTTGTGTATCCAATTTGCGCGGGTGGTGTGTGTGTCTGTGTGCAGGTCTGCACCGACTGATTTTTGTGTTATTGTACGTTTTGTTTTTAACTAATTTAATGTGAAAACTATTATTATTTCCTTATTCGTTTATCTATTTCCTTATTCACTTATTTATTTACTTAATTATTTGTACTTAATAATGTTATTATTACATTTGATTTTGGTTTAATTCAGTCATTTGGAAGCTGAAGATTGCATTCAACCAATAAAGTTATGGTGATGTTACTCAAGAGATGATGATGATGATGATCAAGGTGATAATGATAACGATGATCATGGTGGTAGTGGTAGTAATATTATCATCCAACCAACCGTCACATGCTACGGGTGTTTTATTCATTTACTAATCGCCTGATAAGAGAAAGTTGTTTTTTGGACTGAAACTCGTTGATATAATAAGACTTGGTCGTTTGCCTTACCTTCAATTATTTTTTTATTCTCCGCACCAGATTTTTTTGGCACATTCCATGTCATTATCATTACTTAAATAGATAATTATTCATTTATGTACTGTTAATTTAGAAAAAATAAATTTGTTGGTATTAAGTAGTTTATTTTTCAGCAAAAAATGACATTAAATTTAATTTTAATTCAATGGTACATACCATGTAAACACACTAACATGATAAGATCATTTCATAGAGGCGGTGTTGAATATATTTTTGTTGATTGTGTATGCGTGTGTTTTGTGTGTGTGTGTGTGACAGGGCAACTAAAAGTCTCGTAATTTCATTTCTTAATCAATTGACATCACAAAACTTCCATCAGATATAATAAGAGGACAGCTCGGATGGCCTAGTTATTTTAACTCAGCTGATGCAAAAATATAGAAACAAACAAAATAAAAAATCTAGTTAGATTCAGTTGTAATGGCTCCTGTAAGGTTTGGTGAGTTTGTCACCTCCGTTTGGCAGGTTGTTTTGTTTGTGGTGTTCAATTAGTTGGTTCAGATTGTCAAAGTACGGCCCGGATTTGCCGAAGCATAACCTGCCGTCCTGAAAAATGTTGTATATCATTTGAATTTTCAACATTCTCAACCGACATATATTATGAATGCGTTGAATTCGGTTTACGTTTTTTGTAATATATGTATATTCCTTAAAATGAAACTTTCTATCGATTGCATTAAATATTAATTTGTGTCAATTAACCAGCCAGTTGAATGTCAAACCTTGTTGAATATCTTGTACTTGGCCACTGAACTTGGCATCCTTACTAGCAACGTCTGATTGAGAGTAGATACACGTCATGAATTAATACAAAAATTATTTGCTCTCATTTATTTTAATGTCAGTTGATGAAATTAACCGAAAACGTTCAAATTAAGTTAACACATAGATAAGTATCAGACATTAATTTTTATACCAATCAATGATCCCTTTAAATCTCTCAAAAAACCGTCGAGATCTTATTCTAAGTATATGGTTGAGATCGGTGACATCCAGCTGTTTTGCAGATTTCCAATTGACCAATTTTATTGAATTCATTATTCCTAGTCCATTCTTGGTAGGTTTTCCAACTTTACCAGTTTCATTTTCAAATTAGTGTATATTCAGTTAACCATTTTCTTCATTCTGCAAATATATTAAAAAAGTCCCAATTTTTTTCTTTGTTTTCCAAGTTGGTTTCTTATATTCTTGTTTATCTCGTGTATCCAGCCGATACCAAACAATTTTCTGTAGCATTTTATCCAAACGATTTTAACCCGTTTTTATCTTTTTTACTGTTTACATTTCAAATGAATTCGTCATTGGAATGAGTATTTGTACGTTAGCCGGGAAGTGTTTGCGTATATCCTCAGTCCTACTCTGACTCGGAACAACTTAAACATGAGTATATCTAATAACTGGCATTCTTCATTCAAAAATTCTGCGTGTACATTCATGCCAGCATTCACAATGCATTCATTCACAAACTGACCAGTCCATCACTGTCCTTTGAAGCCTCTCGAATCATGAAGACACCCATATCTGTTACTTTTTTCATGAATCTGTGTTGGGAAGAATTGTTACTAAATAAATTTTTTAAAAGAGTAATTGAAACCATAAAACTTTAATTCTACTTGGTCGTCTCTTGGTCAACAAACTGTAGCACATCACGCTGACCGCTACCACAAGACAGACGACAATAAATACATACACGGAAATACGTATTACACACATAAGCCCACGTATACGTACTTTTCACCATCAGATGGAGAACCGTTCCAAAAATAAAGTTCATCCGGCTTTGGAATAATCTGCAACGTTCGTTTAAGAGTTATATTAATAATAAATGCATTATCAATCAATATACTACTGAATTTCATATTTATATGAAATAAGAACGTTGAAGTTAAATATTAACATCAGGGCTGGTAGTCGGTGCAGGAAGAACATTTTTTGACTGCGGTTTTGCAGTTGATGATGATGACGTTAATGTTGCTGACGTTGACGGTGCTGATGATGCAGTTGGTTGCTGAGGTAATGGTCTGTTTGGTGGTTGCGAAAGTGTAGGTGTCTGTCTCGGCGTTTTAGGAGATGAAGATGGGGATGGAGATGCTATTATTTCTTCGACTGGTTTGTACAGCTCTCCTGGTTTGTATACGTTGGAATCTTCAGGGGGAGTTGTTACTTGCTCTTTTTTGTTAATCTGTTACCATAGTGATGCCGATGATTAGTAGTTGCAATATCATGATTTATAATTTGCTTCCGTAGACAAAAGTACTCAAAAGTTTAAAACTCTTAAAAGATAGCAACCTGCTGTGAGTTTTTAAAACGGAACATCTAACAAACGAAATCACAAAGTTTAAAAAATATGATGTAGATTATTTACATAACATTATTACAACAGGGCATTTACCATACAAATAAAAATAATAGTGTTTGAATGTTGAGTCTGTGGAAAAAATGAAAGGAGTCGTAGGATATAGACAAACCAAAAATAAAGAAAGATGATGGCGTTAGTGACTCAGTGCCTACTTCTGATCTTCCAGTCGGCAATCTTACAGCCATATTTGGTTATTTCGTAACTCTTATTAAATTTCATATAAAAACCAGTATTTTTATTCTCACTTCAAGTTTACCGTTGTGAAGGGCTACAATAACTTCAACTCAAAATAATAAATCTGTGAAATTTGACCACCTCAACCCTAAAAAAATGTACACTGCGTGGAAGCTCCAGTCACTCCAAACCCACCTCCCTTAGTTGGCTACGCCATAGTGATTCCCTAATTATAAGTATATTTGATATGGAGTCAAAAAACATGACACACAGAAAATGGATAACTTTTGCAAGCAGGCCAAATAACATCCAATTAAAAAAACGCACGTTTAATCTTTTCAAAGGCACCGGTTGGTTGGCAACTTTTTTCTCTGTAGAAATTTATTAATAATTTAAGTTATGTAGTGATATTATGAATATCATTAAATATTATATTTGTATAATATGTTTGTATATGAAGTGCTATACTTGTATATATTATTGTTATGTATATTATTTAATAAAAAAATCTTTTATGACATTATTGCTGAATTTTACGGCAACTATCTAATAAAATTTAATTAACTGAAATATAATTTCGAAGCCTGTATGTTATTTGAATTTAAAGGTAAACTATTTAGTGTCGCCGATTTGCATTTAGTAAAGTTTATCAGTCTATGCGTTAAAATGAAAACAAAAAAACTTCAATTATTATTAGTTGGTACGACATTGAAGCTCGTGGATTTAAAACAATTTCCAAGTCTGGTTTGTCAATAAATAATTTAAGTAACTTTCGGTATTTCGCGTCTGCCAATTTTACAATTTTCAGTTACTCACTCACGTGCACTCAGTAGAAACGCAAATCACATTTAAATCTTTAATGTTGTCAAATATTTAAAAAGGAACCAACTATCAAATCTCTGCTCAGACACCATGTCATAATTTAATTGATCATCGTAGTCGTCGTCGTCTTCTTCTACTGCCTCCTCTGTTGCAGCAGCTGGTGTGTGCGTTCGTGTGTGTTTGTGTATGTGTGTGTTTTGTTTGTCTTATCTGTGTGTGTGCTGTGTGTGTATCTGTGTGTGATGTGTGTGTGTGTGTGTGTGCGATGATGTGGTAATGTTTATTGCAACAATCTTTGTTGTTTATGCTTTTATACTTTATGAATATAGCATTTAACGCTTCTTTTTAATTGGCTTTAGCTATGTTACAGTTCTTTCTAGTCATATTTTCATTGTGGCTTCACATCGCGGTAACCACATCACATTGGCCGGCAGCTGCGAACATAAATTTTTTAATTCTGTAAATTTTATTGCTCGTTATTTTTAATTCTACAATCATTTTCCGTGAAAAGGTTTCAAGCTTTGATTCTTGCAGGCGATTGTCGTTTGGAAAATGAATTATCACAGAAGCTTAGAAGAAATTTAAACTTCTGGGTGTATGCATCGACAATAAACTTAACTTTAATGATCACATCGAACTAATTCTAACAAAAATTAATATAATTTTTGGCATAATGATAATAAATAATATTAAATAATAATACTAAAAGACTACTTTACCGATCATTAATTTTTAGTCATTTTTACTATGGTAACCTAATATGGGATAATACAAACATTTCAACACTTAACAAATTATTTAGCGCACAAAAAAAGGTAATTAATTTTCTATTTAAAATTGATTATAATCACTCCGATTACAATATATTTAATAATAATAATATTTTATCAATTTTTGAAATAAATTCCTATAAATCATCTTTATTAACATTTAAAATTATCAACAATATAACATCTACAACTGATATAATGTTAATTAATACGATTAAATTTATAGCTAACCCCAGGATTGACAGAACTAACAATACTAATATAATTAAGTAATTAATGAATTTAAATAAAATAACATCCAGGAACTTTAGTTATTATGCACCTTATAAATGGAATAATCTGCCACAATATTTAAGATCAATTAATAATCTAACAGAATTTAAAAAGAAGTTGAGTGCTCGATGTTTTATTTCTAAGTTTATTCATGAATATTTAAGAACATTAAAGAATTTAAAAGACATTTATTTTACTCATTTATGTTATTGTGTTTTTTTTTGATTACTTACTATGTTATTTCTTGTTTTATGGGAGTCAACCCTAGATTAGCATTTATTGCTAGGCTGACTCTTTCACTTTTTTTGTGAATAAATGGAATTAAAAAAAAAAAAGCTCTGCTTTAGTCATATTTGTTTATTGTGTCTTCACTCGTACTTAAAATGACATAACATAACATAAGAAAGATTTTTTGTAGTGATTCAAGAAGACTAAGTCTGTGACAGGACCACTCTGAGACTTTTTTTAATCTCCTACTTTAGCCAAGTTTGCTCTAAAGTTATTAGTTGTTTCTGCGCATATTATTTCATCTCCCAGTTTGTTCCACTTATCTGTTGTTCAGATTGCATATATTTTTTTCAACTCTTGAACCTTGAAATTATAAACATTGTAAATATGGTCTTTGCTGAAAATTTCACTTTTTCAATTTTTTATCGACTTGTTTGTGTTTGCATGTTTTGCCATTTAGCTCTTTTTCGTGTGCTCGCATTTTTGCTGGTATTTGTTTCATGTGTTGTATGATTGTATAGATGTTTAAAGTGTATATGTTAAACTAAAAACAAAAGATACAAACCTTCATTTACTCCGTAATAAATCATATTTTGGTTATTATTTTTAATGTTAATGTTCTTTTTATTGCCTTTGTTTTTGTTGCTATCATCGTTATTCACATTAGCTTTGTTACTGGGAGGCAGGAAAAATTTTGCGTTATTAACGGTTTTGTTGTTTTTACTTTTATCAACATTTCCGTTGCTTTTGTTGACGTTGTTGTTGTTGTTGTCGTTGCTGTTACTACGTGTCAAAAGTTTCGAGATTGCTGTCGATGAGGTGGATGGTAAGGCTGAGTGTGGTGGATCATCTTCAACTAATCTGTGGTTGTTGTTGTTGGTGGTGGTGGTGGTTGTGTTGTTGGCGACAAAGTTGTATGGTTGTAGTATCAAGTTTAGTAATGACGTTTATATTAATGTTCGTATTTATTGCATATTTTTGCTAGTATATATTTTTATCACTAATTTATTATTATTATTATTGTTTTATTTTAGTTGTTAATGCAGCAGCAACAACCACAAAATATTACGTATAAAGCCAAATGACACTTCATCGCGTCATTTAGAAGTTCATGTTGAAGTATTTTTAATATTTCAAACAGTACAACAGATCAAAATTAAAAAATCAACATCTCACAAAATCAATCCACCTACTGACCTTCGGTTGTTTATTTTCAACAATTGCCCTTGTATCACAGAAATCCAAGTCTTGTTCGAATTTAAAAAGTTGGATAAATGAATAAATACATAAGCATTTAATCAAATAAATTAAATAATTAACTGAAAGCTTGTGTAAGAAACAACACCATTGTAACATATTATCTGTTGAGAGATGAGTTAAGTGAAGAAGAGTATTTATTTCTTTATTTAAAACACAAACAACACACACACATACATACACACACGGACACAAACACACACACACATACATTCATATCTTTCTCAGACGCAGCTGAGAAATAGAATGTCTTATCTTTCTCGACCAACATGTTGACCACTTTGAATGGCCAGGCTATCTTGCTGGAAACTTCGTCAGAACATCGACAACATCTACAATGATGATGATGACGACGACGATGATTATGACGGATAGGACGACGATAAAGTTGGTGATGACGATGATGATGATAATGGTGAAGAAACGTCTTAATGATTCATGATCAAAATTACTCGAAGTAAAAAGTGGCATTTTAATAAAATAATTCTGACAAAGGCATCTATAATATTCCACGTACTTCGTAAAACCGAAGAGAGAGGTGGCTTTTTCGGGTTTATTGGAAAGCTCGTTAGCGTAAATGTACAAACTTCCATTGTGAAGAACCACGAAACTCTGAATCCCTTTTTTAAAAATAGTTTGGTTAGGTGGAGTTAGTTAGTTAGTTAATTATTATCAATTATCACTGTCATTATTATTATCATCATTAATATTGTCTACGTCATTACCGCAAACATCGTCGCTATCCGGTCATTATCATCACCGTCATCGTTAAAATCATTATCCCGTCCATCAGTAGTATCATATTTAACATCATCAGTGTCATCGTGCCATCGTCACTTTGCGTTCACTTCCTTGTTACCATAATAAAGTTATCGTTAACATCGTTAATTTCGTGAACATCATCGTCGTTGTTGTTGTGTTATCTTTGCCGTCAGTCCACGTCTTTGTCAGTGTGTTTGACGGCGTTGTTTTTTTATGTCGTTGAAACTTGCCATCATCGACTTCACATTACTTATATTATCATCGCATCATCATCGACTTCAGATTGTCATCACATCGTTGAGTCGTAATCACCTCACGCCAACAGAACAAAACAGAACGGATCATGATACAATAAATAAATAAATAAATAAATAAATAAATAAATAAATAAATAAATAAATAAATAAATATAATGAGACAGAAGAGAGCTAACAGTTGATGACGGGCAGTGGTTCAATGATCTTGTCGACGTACCTCCTGCGCCTCAGATAGCCGTGGTGTACCAGAAGGTCATCATTCAACAACATCTGACAAGCTGTTTGTTTATTCAAACACTCAAATTTCTATTTATCCAGCAATTTTGATTTTTTTTCAACATTTTTTAGCATTTAATGAAACCGTACATTAATACGCTAGTTAAAATCGCATAGATATTTCGAGATTTTAAGCATATCGACCCAGGGTAATTTTATAAATTATTTTAACATTAATAACGTGAAGAATCGATGATGATGGGTTAGTTATATATGATTTACGTGCAAATTTTATTTTCATACCTGCATTTTTTGACGGAAACGGTATAGCCTCCATGAAGAATTCGAATTAATTTCAATTAGACCAACAAAGATTTACATCCAGTTGACAAATATGACTTAATCGGTGTTAAATTTGAAATATTTTTTCACTTTATTTACATCAATTAAATTTAAAAAAAAAGTCTTATTTAAAATAAAAAAAGTTTGATAATACTAAATGTTAACGTTGAATTTTTTTAAAACAGGCACTTGATCGATCGATATACTTTTGTATTTGAAAAACAACTATTTCCTCTTTTTCATTACTTTATTTAAACGAAAAGGTGCCTCATTATTTGAAAATTCGTGATATAATATACCAATACAACTATTTGTTTGTTTTTCAAACTTCCTATAAGTATTCAGACTACTGTCGAAGCAAGCTAACCATTGTTTATTTTCAATCAAACCAAGCAGTTACATTATGTGAATGTGCCAATAAGACTGAATCATTTATACGCAATGAAATATTAACTACGTAACTACTCACTCTGAACAATAATTGAATAAGTATTTTTTAGGTAATCTATAGGTTCTATGGTTTTTTTTTTATCTAGAAAAGATCAAACCCAAGCCTATTATTTATCAACCTTTTAGTCAAATGCTACAGAGCCGAATAATCGTTTCAGTACAATATTACTTCAATAAAACATTTTATCATCTATTCATCACTTCAATACATTAAAACATCTTATCAGGACATCACTTCAATATACAACATCCTATCATGACCCCATGATCATAACATCAATTCAATATACAGCACCATATCATATCAATATAACATACAAGATATAATGATATCAATTTAATACAACATCTTCTATTTATTACAATATTACATCATCAATTTTATACATCCTATCATGACATTATCCATTATTCTGTACATCACATATCATCACATCAATTCAATACAACTCACTTTCACATCACCACAATATAATTATAATATTAATTTGTACTTATAATAAAAAACCTACAACAAACATGATGAAGGAAAAATGATTGAATTAACAAAGTATTTCATTTAAAACTTGATCACTCAAAAATATACAGGTTTTTTGATAACTATTTCGGTTGCTAAGACGACCAGCATGTGCGCTCTAGATGTTTTCGTTGGTGACCAGTTTTAAAATGTAATTGAACGAAGATTAGATATGAAAAAACTAACAAAATTAATTTAATTCCAATAATAACAAATAATAAAAATAAATAAATAGTACGTTAGAGTTTGGATTAGTAGTCTAGTTTACAAGAAAGAGCATACAGTTAATATATAATTAAATTATAATTATAATAAAAATAAAAGGCAACGAAAAAAACAAACGAAAAAATGTCTCTGTCATTTACGCGCACCACAGGACATCATCAACAGATGGATGGCAACATCAATGGCGGAACATCAGTTGCTAGTGGTACGTACGTCTTCTCGAGTCAGCCGCGAGTTGTGCAGAGGAAGAAGTATAGAGACAAACCAGTCATCAGATCCACTGTGTTTGTTCTTTCTTTATTATTTTGTTTCACTGACTACAGTGGCGGATCTAGGAAAAGGTTGAGAGGCACCCTATTATGAGCAGCGTTTTAATTAAAAGTTGTAAAACTCGGTTTTTACACAGAAAAACATCGTTTTTAAGTACAAAATGAACCAAAAATTGGCGTAACAAGCAAAAAAATAACATCATCAGTCTAATTTTTGCCAATACTAGCGAAAATTTGGTTAATTTTTTTGCCCCTCCCCATCAAACTTCAAAATTTAAACATTTTAAAAACTTTGGCCTTTTCCAACAACGTTGTCTAGATCTGCCACTGACTGGTTACAACAACTACATGATTATCACTTCTTAATTATTATAGTATATTTATTTTTATAGTAAATTGAAAAGTTTATCAAATAAGTGAGCAGAAGTACCTTACTTTATGTTTTATATTGCAAATTAAAATTATTTAAAATGATTGTCTACACTTTTAAAATACAGTATTCAACATTTAAAAAAATGATTTTAAGCTAATAAGTTTTAAATTTTCAGTTATCAGAACTATTCAAACTTTTCGAATTTGTTTGGAAGAAGTGATTCTTTCAAGGCTAGAGATGCTTCCACAATGTCCAACACCCTTCCACTTGTAATTTTTATTCATTTTTTTCTCTCTAGATTAAAGCATATTTTCAGTTGAAAAGTTATTTAAACCTTGTGAAATATATTTTGTATTATTATTTTTAAGCATAGGTTTTAAATTTGTCGAAATAAACTTTTAAATAGTATGATTCAGTACATTTGAATTTCAAACCACCCCAATTTTATAATTGCAGAAGATCAAATTAATCACACCACGCAGAGTGCCTACTCATCATTCATTGAAAATCGGAAAAGTAAAAACCAAAGTGCCAATAAATACGCGAGTGCTAACAAATTCAGCCCCTCTGATCAGAAAAGTTTCTCCAGAAAGTCTCGAACAAATTTCTGGGATCGAAGAACACCAGAACCAGTTGAAGGTAGGCAACACATGGAAATGCAAACGGAGTTGTACTTGGAAGAATTTGGAGACATGATCGAAGAAGTAAACCAAGGCTGCCAAACAGATCCGTTCATCAACAAGCCTCCAACTCCAATGTTCGTTCCCGCAAAGATTGGAATCGATGCCTCTACACAAATCTTTGATGGAGATGTTTGTTTTTACACAAATTTGTCGTGAAAGAATTCTAATGTTTCTTTTAAATAACATTTATCATTATTCAAAATCATTTAAAGCCATCGGAAAACTGAATTCTTGAGGTAATTATTTTTTTCCAAATTAGCTGTTCGATTTCGATGTTGAAGTCCGACCAATGGTAGAAGTGTTGATTGGGAAAGTGTTGGAGCAATCATTGATGGAGGTGATGGAGGAAGAAGAGCTGGCATCATTGAGAGAGAGGCAAAGGATGTTTGAGGAGATGAGGAATGCTGAGCTTCAGGAACAGCAGAGACTTGAGGAGGAAGATAGGCGTAGAAAAGATGAAAAGGTTCAAAATCACACTATTAATTCTAATTTATTATTGAATTTATAATTTATTCAAATTTTTATATTTCCAACTTAGCTTCACTCAAATACTGTATCACACTGTTATATACAATAATTACCGAAATGAACTGAACAGTTGAAAAGAATGAAACACCAGCAAGAGTTGATTAGGAAAGAAAAGGAAACAGCAGAGAAGATAGCAGCCAAAGCATTTGCCCAGAGTTTCCTGTCTGACCTCGTTCCATCTGTGGTGGCCTCCCTCTCCGAGAATGGGTACTTTCATGATCCTATTGAAGCTGGTTCGTTGTGAGATCATTAAACATTTTTCTTGTTTATTCATATCTTCATCTGTTATCATTAAGGATTTGTAGGAAGATTGTCTGTAAATTAGTCCGGATATATCAGTACATCAATTTCTATAGAATGTCCAGTATTTCTCAACAATATCTTCGAACCTAAGAACTAGTTTTATTTAGTTTAATTATTGATACATAGCCAAATAAATGCACGTGTAGTTTGATTTATAAATTTTTTAAATGCTGATTATATGTTAAGAACGTAAAAACATGATAAGGACAAAGTTTGTGGTAATAATGACGTTAAAAGTGATCAATAATATCACCAATGCGCAACGGATTTTGGTCATATATAACATGCCATCAAATGTTATCGATGTAACGTCAACCGCCGAATCAACAATTCATCTTATTGAGAATATTATTTAAATTCGCATCACAACAGAACTTGAAAAGAACTTCATGGAAGATTTGATGAGAGGAGTTTGCAAGAGGCTGAGGTATGAGGTCATCAGCAGGAAACTCATCGACAGAATCATAAAAAAAATCGTGCGGCAACGTGAGGAACAATATCTGAAGAGCCTCGAAAAAAAGAAACAAGACAGCGAAAATGATGACGAGAGGGACGACAACAGCAACGACGACGACGAATTTGACGTAAAAAGATCTAGAAATAAGGCTAACAGCGGACGTGAGCATGAAAAAGTTGATGGTCACATAAAGAAAGGTCATGCAGTTGGTGGCAGCTACCGTTATTAAAAGTTACATATCATGCAGATGAACATTTGTTTCTCTTTTTAACATTTAACGAACATTATTTACACAATTTAATCAATTTACATAACTAGTATATACTCCTTACTGCTTATTTTAAAACTAATAATATACAATTTTAATCATTTAATTTATAATTGACCATTTTTCGTTTATATTAAATTTCATTTTGAAAACATTTTACAACAAATTAACGGTTATTAATCATTTCATAATTCTAAGTTTAAAATTCGAATCTTCGTTATTTTCCAACAACATGATGATCGGGTGAAAGCGAGGCATGCCGATGTCGATATTAACTTGTCTCGGATCTTCCGGGCTTAGTAGTTTATTTGAATGAACGAGTGTTTTCGCCCGAAAAAGTTTAAATAAAGAAGAGATAACATCAAGGTCGTCATCTGTTCGTTGGAACAAAAAGAGTTGTAGTTTGAGGCACATCATTCGAAGGGACTGGCCAATTTATTTCTATTTGAAAAGTTTCTCAGAGGTATGAATACAAATGCACAGCGTATGCAAATACGCCTGAATCAACCATAACACACAATTGCATGCGTCGATCACTGTAACATAAACATACGTGAACGAATGTATGTACTGATGTATTTAAGTGTATACAAATAGATATATACATATAGGGGTATATGTATAAATACATCAAACAAAGAACAAAAAGATGGTTATGGTTCAATTTTTTATACAAAATAAAAGCACAAATTTTGTAACAAACATGAAATCAATTAACATACTCCACCAAACAATACATGTCAATCTATTGAATCACTCAATCCACAAACAAACTATATATATATATATACATACTCAATGTTAATATGTACATATATATATATATATATATATATATATATATATATATATATATATATATACGATTTAAGATTTATAGCAGATACCTTCATGTACTTCATGTAACACACACATGCAAACATACCATTAAAATGTGTGTGAACGCGAATACTAGTACAAGCAGCGAGATGATCATTAATTGAGTGTGCTTAGCTTAAGAAGGCTGTAATGTAATTCTTATAAAAATGACTCCCAAAGAAAACACTATTAGGGCAAAATCATAAAATCTTTTTCATAATTTGAATTAATAATATTTTATATTATTGCAGTTATTAATGAGAATTAAATTTAATATTGAAATAATTAAAAATAACTATTAACAAAGGTACATATTTATAATTAGTTAATCTTCCTCGCGGCCCCAATCATATCCGCCGGGACCAGGCTGATCTTCGGGCATCGGTCGGTAGTTCTCATCCTCTGAAGGAGTATCAAACAACCATTTCCTGGTGGCGAAGAAATTTTTAATGCTTACATCAACTTTTAGAAATGATATATCTTCATTTACAGAAGCTTCTTTTTATCACTGGTTAAAAGAAATTTGGAACACAAATTTGTGAAATTATTTTACTATCATTGAAATAAATCTTCAAGGGTTTATAAAAGTTGTTTCCTTGTCCATGCAAAATATAAGTAGATAACTTTTGGAATAGCACAAAAAAAGTTAACTAACAAGATCTTTGGAGTTTCCAGGACCCTGAACCCACCAGGCTGATTTGGAAAAACATCTTCAAGGAAGAAGTATATGTGACCAACGACAATGCCTGCCATTCAAAATATATTATTAATTAGGAAAATTTTATAGAAAACTATTTTTATACTGTAAAAGAAAAAAAGAATGGGAAATGAAAATCTAATAAAAATGGTGTTGTTAGCACTCACCTATGACATCCACTGCAATAGAGTTGCCTAACAATAAAGAGAACCCTAGTAGAACCCACGGCAGATAAGGTGCTTGAAAGTTTATCAATCCAAGAAAGTTCATCCTAATGTAAGGATTTCTCCTACTCCAGACATACACAAGCATTATGGTGAATGCGTGCCCAAGAAAAACTAAATTAATAAAGAGAGCAACGAAAGTTGTTAGGCAGCCACCTAGAATGAACATGTAGACGAAATCTGCTGTCCTTCCTCGAAACGATCCTTCCTCTAACATTCGACAGTATCGATATGTGAATATTATGTTGAAAAGAAAATTGAATCCCAAAGTACCAAAAAACAAAAATGTTGTTACAACACGCCATAACTGTAGAAAATATTTTTATGATCAAATTTAGTAAGTAAAATTAGTCAAATAATAACGATAAAAATAATAATAAAAAAAATAATTTATACTATTTTCTATTTCTATTTTCAGTAATATTCTATTCTAATAGATTTATATACAAAGCAAACAAAAAAGCTTTGTCAATCAGATTATTCATCCATTCTATTTTAAATTTATTAACCTGTAAATGTCTATAAACAAGTTCAGGGTTGAAATAAAGTTGAAATGGTGAGATAAGTTCGAGTTGCTTTGAAAAATTAATTTAAAATGTAATTTAAAATAATTTAATCATCATTTCATTTTTATTAAAAAAAAAACAATAAAAATAATAGTGAATTGAATCAGAACATGTCTTAAAAAATTCAATTATAATTAAAAAACATCTACTAAACAATAAAATAATGATTATTTATTTTTATTACAATATAATATAATACAATAAAAAACATAACATATATTTTATTTTATATAATTTTATAATACATCATAAACTTTGTAATCATTAAGATTAAAATTTAAATATACCCAGTAAATTACAAATTAGGAAAAATTTAGGTACTAAGTTCCCAATAAAAAAAAACAAATTAGCACTCTCCCAAACTAAACTAAAAAAACTAAGTTACTAAGACTAAAGACAGATTTGTAAGGGTTAAGAAGACTAATAAAGGACTTCTAACTGCAAGTGTCGTCAGGACACAACCCGTTGTATAAACTCTGGTGCCAATCGGTATCGCCATATATTCTTGTTGAAACGGTTGATAAGCCATCTTTAATTTATCTTAAATAAAACAAATAATAAATAATAAAGGAAATAGAAGATCAATCTAGGTTCTAGGTAGATTACAACGAAAACGGGTTATTTGTAAACAAAAACTTTGTAAACAAAAAAAGCATAGATGAGATAACATTTCGATAACACGTCAGCTTGTGGCAAACTCATTCGCTGCTTATGAATCGTATCATAAGCATGGAATTTTGTGTAGGAATTGAGCTATAATAAATCAACGTTTCCTTTAGATAATCTCATATATATAAAGTATATACTATTTTCTATTTCTATTTTCAGTAATATTCTATATATATGGATAATCTGTGTTTTATAGTTAAATTTAAAGGGCTATTACTTAATGTAATAATCTAGTGACAGTTTTTTCTTGCGTCAGATGGTTAAACTTGCATTAAATCTTAAAAGTGATTAATTTTAATACTCACTTTGTTTCTTATTTTGCAACATCAGTTGAATTTTTTTTATTTTCCATTAGCATTTGCTGTTATTTATTGGTGTTTAGTAAAGCAGATCAAAATTCGGAGGGAGCTAGTTACTATGAAGTTATTCAAGCGTTTTTAAAACATTTCCAAATTGTCATTGGTTTGAATTTAAAACAGCAATATCTTTAATAAGATAATTCATTTTTAAATTAGGCTCGTCTAAGTTAGCATTCTGTCGCATCAAGTTTATAATTATAAATGACAATAAATAACAAAATTTCGTAATTTATACAAAAATTTGATAGATTTCTGCTAATTTTAGATATGGTGAAACTTTCATCAAAATGTACTGTTCATTTTAAAATACCAAGCGCCATTCATCAGCTTATGACTGAGATATTTTGAAACAGTTCGGTTTCTTGATTTATTTTTCGCAAAATTACGCTAAACTAATTTTTTTTTCGGAATCAAAAATTAATTGATAACAAGTTTTTTATATTTCAGAGACCAAAAATGAATTTTAAACATTATTAAAACTGCTCAGTATTTTTCCTAAATCTACTAGAAAAACTTAGATCAAATTAGTTTAAAAATTCAGAACACATATTAATTACTAATGTTTTTAAAGGCACTTGCTGAAATGAGTAAATAAAAACTTGAAATAACGAAAGATGTTATTAAAAAAACATTACCATTTTATTTTAAGGAAACGCGAATAAACAAATGAATAAAACAGAATGCAAGTAGGTTCAAATATTTAACTTGATTAATAAACATTAAAATCTACTAAAAATTTAAATTCTTCCGTCATTCGTTTTTAACGTTGGATGATGTTACCACGTACAGACCAACAGTGCCGTCTGCTCTTTTGCCATCGACTGTTTCAGCTGATAATGATGGCGCTGTTGATGACGTAGACGATGACGCTAATGGTTGTGGTAATGATGATGATGATCTGTATTTATTATTGTTTGATGCAACGTCATTGTTTCCGGTTTTGTTACATCCGTTACTTTCGTCATCGTTGCTGATGTTTTTGTTGTTGAAACTGCTATCATTGAGATCGTTGTTTATGTTGTTAATGTTTGCATTGTTAGTATCATTGTTATGTCTATCCATAAAATCTCCAACCCTTTTGTTATCATTATCACCAGCACTAATGTTACTATTTTTATTTGTAGACCTGTAATCACCGTAAGTTAAAGTTTTTTTGTAATTTCTAACGCTTGAATTGCCGTTGCTGTTGTGAATTTTGTTGTTGTTGGCATTAAAGTCATTGTCGTTTACACTGATGTTTGTTGCATTTCCATTGTTGTTGTTACTGCTGCTGCTGCTACTGCTGTTGCTAGGAAGTATGCCATGAGTTTTGAGGTGCCTTGTAATTTTGCTGGACTGTGCGCACGCGTATGGACAGTGTGGACACCTGTAGGGTTTTTCACCTGTGTGAGATCGGCGGTGCACCGTCAGATTGCTGCAGTTTTTGAATACCTGTATATTTTTAACAAGAGTTAAATTTTTAAAAATTTCGAACTTTTTATGAAACTTGTTTTTTCCATAAAATTTCAGTCGGGATGAATTTAATAGCTTGAATTATTTTTAACATTTTGATTAATTTAGTTTAATAATAACAAAAAGTTATATTTACTCACTTTACCACAAAACTCGCAGGTATCGTTACGTTTTCTGCCGCTGTGTCCAGCTTGTGACAGGAAGAGCGTTCCAAAATTGTCAGACCTTCCGGAATTATTTGACTCCGATTTTTGATGTACAGTGTTATCGGAGTCCATAAGGTTCTTAGCTGGGTGATCATTTGACAATCCGGTTTCAAAATGTCGATTGCTTATTGTGTTGTTGTTCATTATGTTACCTTCAAACGCAGTTGATCCCTTGGTTGAATCTTTCGACGATGTTGATCTAACGTCCAATGAAGTTGACGATGATGATGACGTTCTGATGTTTTCCAGTCTGTCGTTGTCAAAACTGTTGAGAACATCATTGTTACGAGAACTCTCTTGGAAGGGATTAAGTTCCGTCCTGAAACGATGATACCCAGAAACATACGGGGTCTCGTTTTCTTTCAGCATGTTTTCTGCAACCAGTTTATCAATTGGTTCATCATACTTCAGTCGTTTCACTCCGTAATCGTTAGTGTCGAAAAGCTGGAGGGGTTGTGGAAAATCACGTTGAGTATTGTAATGATTCTTGTATTGAGAATGCTGCAGAAGATGGTTATGTTGCCGTTGCTGCTGGTGAAATAAACTTGCACTCGAAACAGTGGCTGAAAAGATTTCTTCCTCCTCATTGAGTCTGCATGATCTTTTTCTATCTTTTTTATTTACTTCTTTATTTTCTTTTTTAGGTAGACCTGCTAGTTTTAAAACATTAGAAAAAATTTGAGATGTTTCTTGTGACCTTAACTTTTCTTTATCTTCTTTTTGATTGCACACCAGTGGAGTTGCATCACCCAAATCAGTTGTATAGGATTTGGAATGTGGGTGCGTGAAGGGGGGTAACATGTGAGAGTTTCCCACAAGAGAATTGAATTTATAAGCAGATTCTTGAGAAAATCGATGTAACAATAGCGGGATGTCGCATGGATGTGCTTTAAAATAATGTTCAACCAGATCGTTTGAAAAATGAAATTTTTTCTTACAAAGGATGCATTCTTTCAACTGAAGATCACAAGCATTTGGAGATATTGCAAAACTTGCTGGACCATTTAGCCCTGTTGTAAAGCCAAACGAGTTGTGGTATGATACTTTCAAAGGTTCGTTTGCGACAAAATCATTTGGACTTGTAATTCTCGCTGCGAATTGTTCAGTTTTTAATTTTTCCACTAGATGTCGAAGTTTAGATGTGGCTGTAACGTGAGGACCGAACGATTTAGCTACGGGAGACATGGAACTTAAAAAATTTATTCCAATGTCATTTTTCATTGAAGGCTGGTTATATTCTGAATCAGCGGGTGATTTAGTCGAATTAACCTGCCTGAAAGCAGATCGCTTAGTACCCAACGAGTTGCATCCGTCATTTTTCATTGTTGGAAATATTTGCTGATGGTGAAATTGTGGGCTCTGTTTATGCAATAAATCGTTTTTTGAAAAAGTATTTTTTGAACAATTCAGAGAGGGACTTGAAACGGGTGTGAGGACGTTATCTTCATCATTGACCGAAGAATTATCTTCCGACTCCCTGCTTACGACATTTCTTGAATTTTCAACAAAATTGTTCTGGGTTCTGTTTCTGTTTTTTGCGATAGAATGTTGACTAGAAACAAGTTTACAATTTTGTTGATCACCGTCTGCTTTTAGTGAATGGCAGTGCATTAAACTTAGATCGTGCTTAATTTGAACGTGTTGCAACAATAACCAAGGGTTTTCAAAGGTTTCGCCGCACATAGCACACGTTATTGAGTTTGGTTCTGTGAAATGTTTTTAATAATTTTTCAATTCGATAAATACAAATGTTTAAACAAGTTGATGATTGATCAAAAGTAAGAATAATCATGAGCTTACCTTTCTTAAAATCACTGTCACCGACAACGTCTAATATTACGTTAGCATCTCTACATTCTCTCGCTGTTTTGTTGTCGCCGTTCAAGTTGCAATCCTCATCTTCGTCGTCGTCTTCGTTGTTGTTTTCGTTGTTGAGATCGTTGTTGCTGGTCGTTGTAATGTTGTCGCTGTTGTTGTCCTCCTCAGATGTTTGCTGCTCCAGTTTCAACTTCTTGTTCATTTTTGGAGACGTGGTGACCGCTGATTCGCTGTCATCAACTTGGACGCTCTGCTTATTACTGCCACTTACACTGGGGTTGTTGTTGTTTTGAGAACTGCTTTTCACATTGTCGTTGCCAAGAGAATTGTTGTTTCTTTTAGTTTCGTCGGTGTTAAGGTTGCTTGAAGAGTCTGATGCGACCGGCAGTGAATGATGGTGATCGATCAAATTGGAATCTATTCTATATTCATCGCTAGGATTGTTACTTTCATTTTGGGAATTATTTTCTATGTTGTTGTTATATTTACAAGCGTTGTTGCAGCTACTATTGCTATTGATGTTATTGTTGTGACCGCTGTTATTGTTTGAGCAATTAATGTTAACATTATTGTTAACGCAAAAATTATTGTTATTATTGCTATTATTGTTATTAATATTAAGACCGTTGTTGTTGATTTGTAACCAATGTTTAGTTTTGTGTTCGATGAAGAGGGTGATGTCGTTCAAAGCAAAGACCTGCCTGCAAGTTCCACACGTCAACAAATCTGTCATGTCGTCTTGTGGCTCTTGTATTCGAGTTCGATTCAAAGTTGCTAACTTGGTTGTTGTTTTTTATCTGATGATGTTCACAATTTTGATGTAGTTTTTGTTGATGCGACTGTAAAGAGAATTGGCTGGTGAAGGTGTTGAAGTATCTTTCGTCGATATGTATTAGATGTTCACGTCTTTCGAGTCTGGATAATGACGATGTTAACTTGCTGCTTCTTACGATTCAGTGCTGATTATAAAATTGTCGCCAATGTCTTGTCTTTAATCTTTTTTCTGTTAACTTTTCAGGTTCTCTTAAGTGTTTGTTTTTGCAATTAAGTCGTAATAATGCGATTATTGTAATTACAACTTTCAGTCAATATTTCAACATTGTTATGTATATACAGAGGTGGATCTAAGAAGCTCTGCCTCTCTCCCTCCGTTGTGAGCAGTATTTGTATTAAAAGTCACTAAAACTCAGTTATTACACAAAAAATGTAAGCAGGAAAACACTATTTTAAATATAAAGTTGACAAAAAAATTGGTGTGATAAGCCAAAAAATTGTAGCCAGTCTAATTTCGTCCACACTAGCAAAAATTTTTGTTAATTCTTTTGCCCCACGTCAAATTTTAAAAAAAATTTCAACATTTTAAAAATTTTTGAGACACCTTCAACGTTTTCCAGATCCGCCCCTGTGTATGTGTGCGTGTGTGTGTGTGTGTGTGTTGTGTGTGCGTGTATAGATAGTACATAGTTAAGAGGGTTGGTGTGTTCAAACTTTCAATCAGACTGGTGCTGTGAATGAAAATCTGAATGACAAGAATTGTAATTGATTGAATGATGGCTGGAAAGATGGAAGGAAGGATAGTTAGGAGATTGGATGGAAAAAATGTTAAAATTGTAAACCAACCAATTCTTCATATGCAACATGGCATGACTTTAGTTATTTTTCGTTACAATTTTAAAAAATTCTTTAATTTATCTTCAGACAACTTTAATTTATTTGTTTAACTAATTGTATTATAATGTGATTTATATTTTAAAGTCTATGAAACCAGCTACAACTTTCTCCACATTAAATGTACGGCATGATCGTTAAAATATGTTAGCACTGTTATTTATCACGCTCCTATTGCATATCCGCAGAGCATAGTAAAAAATTTTGATAAGCGCGCCAATGTGGTTATTTATACGCTGCTACGTGAAAAATCCACTTGTGTGTGTGTGTGATTGTGTATGCGTGTGTGTGTTTGTGCGTGTGTATGTGAGTATGTGTGTGTGCGTCGGTTCGGTTGTTTATCGTTGTTCGTTATCGTTTTCAAACCGGCCAATCAGAGAACGATCATTTTTGAAGTTCGTTCTCTGATTGGTCGATAAGAAATATAATGTAACAGTTTCGGGTTTGCGATTATGTGTATGTATGTATGTATAAATGTATGCATGTATGTATGTGTGTGTGTGTATGTATGAGTATATATCTATGTATATGTGTGTATGTGTAGATGCATGTATGTATGCATGCGTGCAAGTAGGTGTATGATTGTATATAAAATATCCGCACACTTGTTAAAACTGCCACAAAAATGTTTATTAAATAAAATGTGGATATGTGCTGTTGATGATGCTTTGAAAGCGAGCTCTGTTTTTATCTTCTTTTTTTTAATTTCACGGCGTTTCAGCCCAATAAAATGACCATCCTTGCGCCATTTATTTTTTAAGTTTGAAAGAATTTTGGTTATTTTCTTCATGAGGTTTTTAATTTGGCTAGCAAAATATTTATTTCTCAATCTTTAGTTTAATTTCAAACGCTTTTTGATCATTAACCACAAATTATTTTGATTTTTCGTCTATGATTTAATTCTGCTTCTGGTTTAATTAACCATTTGTATTAACATTCATGGATCTAATACCGTCATGTGTTTTTGTATGTGTGCTTGTGGGCTTGTGTGTGCGTTTTGTGTTGAACAGAACTAATTCAATTAAAAAGCAATTAAAAGAGTTATCATTATCATAAATGCATGTCATAGTATCACTATCATCGTTGACATCAAAGGCTATTTCCTCATCATTTAACCTGTCAATATCGTTTCGTAACATCATCATCATCTTTATCATCATCATCATTTTTACAACTGTTCAACATCATTCTCATGATCACCATTACTACTATAATCATCAACATTGTTATCGCCATCATCATCGCCATCATCATCGCCATCATCATCGTTACTGAAAAAATCTGCTACTGTCTGGATATCTTTGTGTATCATTTTTCGCATCACGTCATCGCAGGCATTACCATTCAAGGTGTCATCATCATCATCATCCTCACCTTCTTCATCATCATTTTCTTCTTCATCATCATCCTCCTAATCTTCATCCTCCTCTTCCTCATCATCTTCTTCTTCATCCTAATCTTCATCTTCATCATCATCATCATCAAAATCATCCACATCTTCATCATCAACTTCATCATCATTTTCTTCATCTTCATCCTCATTCTCATCCTCATCTACATCTTCATCATCCTTATCATCATAAGGATATCATCATCAACATTATCACCAACGGTAAAACAAATCAGAACATTACCATCATCTAACTTATTATATTATTTATAAACTTTGAGCAATTTTTACAACTGTTATCGACAAACATGTATTATTAAGCATATCATTTATCATCACTTATCATCATTTATCATATTATTTATCATATCATATCATCTTATCATATCATCGCAATTCTTCTCCTTCATCATTATCACCACAACCACCATGATCATCGTCATCATCATTGTCGTCATCCTCGAAATCATTATTAATATTTAAATACTTACACACACACACACACACACACACACACACACACACACACACACGTGAGAGATGCATATTTGCAGTACGTGTTCCGAAGATAATAACCGAGTTAATTGTCACATATTTTCTCGCACACGTGTATCCGTATATAAACAACCCTCACACGCACGCACACACACTCACACATACACACAACCATATATATATATATATATATATATATATATATATATAATGCATAATGAACGCATATGCATCAGTGTGTTCAGACAGAGGTATGGAGTAATATAAACGTATCGAACAAGTCCATGCAGCCGGTGGGACTTTAAAAATTTTCAATTGAAATTCCATCGGCATCGTGCAAATAAAAAATTTATTGCAATTTGTGCAGCCTACACATACACGCACAGGCACACACGTTCACATGCCTGATGTACAATCTCGTACATTCGTATACATGCACATGCACATGCACGTACAAACCGGCTTGATTATATACACTACTACTGCGACAAAATTTGTTCACTTTTAGGTTACAGAGATGTGCAAATGTTTACGTCTATATTTACTTATGAACATGCAAAACCACTAAAAACTTGCACACCTACACATACATAGACACACAAACAGACACACATACATAAACACACTTAGACACCAACATAGAGTGGATGGAATGGAACATACTGCTGACGATTTCGTTGGAATTACTACTAGCGTGTTGCTAGATTAGACTTCTAAAGCGACTCAAATCACATACGCAGCGCACGGCGCACACTCAAGCACATTCAAATATTGCACAATTATGTGTATAAAAATGAGCACGTACGCATGTGTGCGTGTGGGTGAGTATGTGTTGTAAATGATTAATTATGCACAGCATATTGTACGCGTACTTCTCACACATGCGTTTGTGTCTGACCACGCAGAGTCCATTCGCATGTTTTATTAACTTTTCATTATGTATGAGGGTATCAATTATATATATATATATATATATATATATATATATATATATATCTTGCATATTCAGAAAAACTGACTAATACAAATATATCACGCTTTATGAAAACAAGGAACAGAAAACACACTGAAACTCATACAAACACAGACAGACAGACACATACATATACACTCACAAGTACATATGCACGCAGACACATAGACAGACAAGGCCCGTAACAAAGATAATCATTAAAGTGTGCATGCGTCCTCAAAGTGTGACCCCCTTCTTATTATTGTCTTTCATTTTTGAACTATCAATATGGACTCGGTCCATAATGGCCGAGATAATACAGTACGAGTATGTGTGTCTTTTGGCTTGTTTGTGTGTGTGTGTCTGCTTGTGTGTGTGTGTGTGTTTGCGTGTATGCATTTGTATGTTTGTATGCACTTGTCTGTATGTGTTTAATTTTGTCTTTTGTACTTTTGTGTAACTATTTGTCGGCTCGCATGTTTGTCTGACTGTGTGTTTGTTTGCCTGTGTAATTGTCTGCCTGTGTGATTTCCGCGTTGTCACGTCTGTTAATTATTATTGTGTGTTATTTATAATGTATTGTTGTCTGTTAAGTTGTGTGACTGAGCTGTCTGAAGGCGTCTGCTGTCTGACTTGAGCATCCTCGCTATCTCTCTCTACTCATAAAACGCTGTACGTTATAAATGAAGTCGGGATGTATTTGCGTGGATTTTTCAATTTTAACAAATATTAGCAATTATCAATGATTAAAACTCAAAAATTATGACGATAGATGGATGGATGGATGGATGAATGGATGGATGGATGGGTGGATAGATGGATAGAGGATTGGATATCAAATTAGAAAATCAGTCATGTGTTCATGTGTGTGCATGCAAACACGCGCCAACCTTGCATAAAGCACATAGACAGACTGATGTTTGTTATCAAAGAAAATATCCAACATCTATGGACCTATATACATTGTTTATATGCATTGCTAATATACATTACACCCACAGGTCAACTCGTTCCATTATTTGAGGTCACTTTTACTAAAATTTAATAGGTCAGATGATGCAACGTGAGTGATTTCATTAACAATATTAATTGGGTCAGATTGTCGATGAATAACTGAGCCTGATTGGATCAGTGGCGTTCCTATGCTATTGAGGCCCGGAGC